GCTTGATGCGTTTGTTCGCCTCCGCTGCATGCTGGAGGCGCTAACGGAGCGCCTTTAGAATACCATTAACCGATTTTCTCGCGCAGAATATCAAATAAATGTCTTGTTTACTCTCTCCACACGCAAGACTATCGTCTTTCGACGACATTTGCAGAAACATGAAGATACGGGGCCAATTTTCTTTCAGCTGGTATGTCACAGGTGGTCCCTTACGAAGTCCAAGACCTCGAGCAAAATCATCAGCATGTTCGCTAAGCAGGGCTTCTAGTTTCATGTTTGCTTTGTTCAACTTAATCGGGTGCACGCTCACGACGGCGTTTGTAAGCATGGGAACTCCGATGTCGTGAAAAGTTTTTATCGTGTCTCTGCCACATAACAATGGTGTCGTGCTGTCAACTACTATGACCGTGCCTTGCATATCTTTGCCGTCGCATCTGGCTGTCATACGTAGCTGTCCAAGCACTGGAGGTTCGCCCAATAGGCAGGACAGTTTTAGCTGCGTTTTTCGCAACGACGGCCACTTCATTTTGTACTTCCGAAACATCGATGCTGGAATGATGCTTACAGATGATCCAGTGTTCGCCAGCATTGTTAGAGGAACGCTATCCCGAATGACTACTTTGTAAATGGGTTTCACCTTGCGGATGCTATAGTTATTGATGAATGACGGCCCGTATAGTGTACAAGGCCTCACTATCATCGTAGATTTAGCAGTCTTCCGCTGTCACCACGTACGCCTCTTGCCATCGTACAAACGCATGTGAGCTCTGTCGGTGACCCGACATGGCTGACAGGCACATTCGTTTCAAGTGGCCTCGTTTGCCGCCCCTGTGGCACACCGCGCGCAGGTGTTTACGTTCCTCCTTTACATGTTTCGCGCTACCACACCGACCGCAGCAGCCGTGAGTACCTAGTTTCGGTCGTAATTGCCCAGAACGGTCCCTCTGGCATGCGAAATTTACAGCACCTTGGTCGGTAGAATGCATTATTCGGCCGTTTTCAGCGGCGTGTTGCACCGACATAGCAAAGCATTCTGCCTGTTCTAGCGTGAGCTTCCGTTGCGTCAATAAATGTTGCCGGACATCTACATCGTACACACCGCACACAATTCAGTCCCTCAGCATGCGCTCCGACGATCTTCTGAAATAGCACTTCTGTGCCAGCTGCCTGATTTCGGCAATGAAATCCTGAACAGACTTACCAGTCTTTTGTGTTCGCATGAAGAAGGCATAGCTTGCGGCGGTATCGTTGACGTGCGGGGTGTAATGTTCTTCCAGATGCCCGGCAACTCCATCGTAGCTGAGCTCGTTGACCTTCCTCGGGTAATAACGCCCTTCAACTACTACCACTGCACTGTCCGTTAGTGACGATATCAAGAGTGTTTGTTTCTTTGCTTCGTCTGCGATGTGATGAGCTTCAAAGTGCGCCTCCAAACGAACACGATACATTGGCCAGGTACCATCCACCCCTCCGAATTCGGGCGGCCGCCCGGCACTCATGATTGCGCAGGTCCCACCCTTGTCGCCACTTTTATGTCGCTGTCCAGATACTACAAGGAAGCGATATAACGCTTAAAGAACGATGGTTTATTGAGTAGCTTGTATTTATACTAAACGCATGTAACGTTGCCGTGACTTCTCTTGATAACACTGCATCGCGCTGTCACATCAAGTTCGCTCCAGTAGTTTTCCTTTGTATCAGCCATCCGTCATGTGACCACTCATTCAATGTAAACAAGCTTTATCACTTCACCACGCTACCATTTTTGTAGGCTTACTGGCACTATTTTTTTTTCCTTCGTGCACGTGCGATGAACCTAATTCTCCTGCCGGTTACATGGCATGCCTGATTGTATTTACACAACCAGTGTTATCTAAGGCATCAGATAACCCCCTTTTCTCAGTTATCCGCACCACTGTCTGCCACCACTTACCATTGGGCTTATCCCTTTTCGTTCTATATATTTGTTTTAATCGCAAGCTTGTTTTTTCTCTTTGTTGAATGTATACCCGGGGCGATAGTTATTTGAGTGCTTAGGCATGCGCAGGGTTCGGTTTGTTGTGGAGAAGTTTGTTGTGGAGAAGTTTGATGTGGAGAAGTTCCACTAAGGGAGGGAGGGCGACGACGCGTCGCATCAACCCCCACTCTATTATGTCAGGGTATAAGGGTGTTGTGCCCTCCCCCCCCCCCCCCCCCGTATTACCACAGCAGCGCGCACTGAATATTATGTCAATGTGTGGGACCTACTTTGCACCACTCTTTTTAGGAGACTCGAAAGGGTGCTCCCTTTGCCTCTGCCCCTTGCGCACGCCTTTGAGTGCCCGAGAGGGCTACTACATGCGACTTTGTATCACCGTAGTTAAAACATATCGCCTGGAAGAGGACCGTATGGTTCAATCCGTTTTGTTGCATCCAAGTCAGGGCACTCGGAGTGACCTCGACTGCCTTAATTGTCTGAATGACTCCGAGATTCCAACTAGGTCCGATCACGTGATGCCCGCCTCTACAGCTAGTTGAATGACGGAAGCCGATGATAGCGGAACTCGCCATTTTCCCCAGAATTTCGTCACTTTACTTTTTACGCTTGATTGTAACGCAGAGCGGTCCACCATAGCAAGCTTCTTCGAGGCACTGCCGGAAGAAGTATGGTCCAAGCTTTTGTCCTGTGTAATTGTCAGCCAGATGTAAATAACACACCTTTTTTTTCACCGACGCCGCCAACATGTCTGTCATGACTTGGTAATACCTGCCGCATAGCTTATTACCGTGTTGTATTCCTGGACGTCATCGGGAACAATGAGCACCCAGCATGGCTCAACACGATTAATATGTAGGGTTTAGCGTCCCAAAACCACCATATGATTATGAGAGACGCCGCAGTGGAGGACTCCGGAAATTTCGACCACCTGGGGTTCTTTAACGTGCACTCAAATCTGAGCACACGGGCCTACAACATTTCCGCCTCCATCGGAAATGCAGCCGCCGCAGCCGGGATTCGATCCCACGACCTGCGGGTCAGCAGCCGAGTACCTTAGCCACTAGACCACCGCGGCGGGGCCGCGAGATAACTAAACAGACGGTTATGAGTAGCAAGTGTATGTGTATACGCACAAGTTGATAGGCAACTCCCAGACTTTTGCACTTCTGTAATGGCAGTTCACTGAAACAGTGTGCTTCAAAAGAAAATACCATGTAAAAAAGAGGCTGCGCAATAGCACTGTGACTTGAGCTTTGCGTTGAATTTTGCACTAATGTATCTGTGCTGATGTTCAAGTTTCAAGGACGAAGAAGCACGCCGACAGTAGACCACAATGGTGTGACGGTAAGTTCAGATGTGGCAAACTGAAAACTTTTAATATGTGTACTCAAATAAAAAACGACACTCATAATATGGACTAAATAATTTCACTCACGCTAAACAAAGTGGTAACGGCGGCACGTACGATATGCTTTAGACGCATTATAAACTTTATTTTGGCCGGTCTTTTTACTACGCCCGCAATAGCACGTCTACATGAGATATTCCCAGATGAATGTGTTCAATTGGCAGTGAAATATTGTTTCTGGGTGGAATGAACTTTGCATATAGCATACGTTCAAAAGCCTATTTACAGCAAGCGAAAAATTTCGACTCTTTGATCACTATAAAACAATCTTTTCTTTCACTAAAGAGCGTGGCACTTCAGACGTAAACAATCAGCAGGAAATCAAGGCCAACCTACATACAATAAATGTTTTATACAAGATAACAACAATAATGCCCGCAATGTTCATGGGTTGTTATATGACAGTGTTAAATGCCGTATTAAAGGTATGTTTCATCTAGAACTCGTTCAAACATCACTTCGCATTTTCAAATAAGTTGTTCAATATCAAAGTACAGCCTATATACAAAAACAATCGATATATGACGAAGTTTTGAACCTAAAACAAACAAAGAAAAACACTTAGACATTCCTCAAACCCTTACCGCATGATATCTTAAATATATGCTAGTCTAGAAATGTTTATTTTTTAGCATGTATGTCGAATCTTTCACTTCTATAGAGCATTTTCTGGATCAACTGAAAAATTCAAGTGTACCATAACTCAAAATAGCACAACACACTCTATTTGTCCTAGTCTATTGGTGTCTTTCCCAATTCACGAAATAATGTCATCAAATTAAACTGTATATAAATAATTAGCGCTTGTAGAGCAGTAAGATGAGGAAAGGCATCTTTTCCGCGACGATACATAAGTGACGCACGCGTCGTCTTCACTGGACAGCATTTTCTAGATACAGGTTCCCCGAAATTCTAAAGCAATCGTTAACATAAAAACAAAATTTCCACTCCAGTGCTGCCATCTTTTAGGCGGCGCACGAACTAGCCTGGAAACGAGCGAGTACTCGTTCAAAAGGGTCCAGGGTAATTGATTTGATTTATTTGTGTGGTTTAACGTCCCAAAACCACGATATGATTATGAGAGAAGCCGTAGTGGAGGGCTCCGGAAATTTCGACCACCTGGGGTTCACCACGTGCACCCAAATGTGAGCACACGGGCCTACATTTCCGCCTCCATCGGAAATGCAGCCGCCGCAGCTGGGATTCGATCCCGCGACCTGCGGGTACGGTTCAGGGTAGGTAGCCTATAGTTCAAGGGTTACTGCAATATTCAGGGCATACAGCGTTGCTAAGCGCGGCTTGAATGCCAAGTTTCGGGAAATTCTGATGGTGAAATCGCATGCATCTTACATCCCTTTACTAATTGTCATTTTCTATAATTTAAACCTATAGTCCACCTCGGTGGTGCAGTGGCTGCAGTGCCCGCTGCTGACCTGAAGGTCGCGGGTTCGATTCCGGTGGTCGCATTTCGATGGAGGCGAAATGGTAGAGGTCCGTGTTATGTCAGTGCCAGTTAAATAACACCAGGTGGTCAAAATTTACGGTGCCCTACATTACAGCGTCTCTCGTTATCGTATCATGGTTTTGGGACGGTAAACCCAAGATACTATCATGATATACTTCCAATTTGACTTCATCGAACGAAAGAGCATTTTTTGTGCGCATTTTCCGACCCGATTTATATTTTGCTTCCTCCCTTCTCAGATTAAGCGTTTTTTGCGTCTTTTTTTTGCTTGTTTTTTTACCACGAGGAAAGCATCACCCCTTTTAGCGCGCTGATGGTCTCGGTGTCACTCAGGTTCAGCTGAATTCCAAATTGTTGTCTCTTCTATTGCGCTAAGTCGTCGTGGATGCGACCGCTTATCAGACAACGCTTGGCGGCAGTGAAAAGCAACGCTTTTTTTGGTGCCACGATAACCGTTCATTCTGATTTCAAAAATCCATTCAGGGGGCCACTCCGAAATAATTAGTGAACATGTGTACCCACATTCTCAGACAGGTATGAAATTACAGTCGTCGTTATTGTATTTCCCTCCGCTGGGGCCTGGGAGACGATGTGCTGGTAGGGTAATATGTATACATGTCACCTACGTACAGCATTCCCTCTGCCATTAGATTACAGCAGAGCAATACCGACATTTTCTGAGTCGCACCCATGCTATGCACTACAGCCTAAACCGGGCAGCGGTAACACTGCTTAGAAATGCCATCTCCATATGCTTATTACTTGGGCTTGCTTTTTTCGTCTTCGATAGCTTTGCGTCCTAATTCACTTGGAACGTTTAGTCAATAGAATTGGCGGCGCGCAGACGCAGATTAGGCGAAGCATTTGCAACTGCCGCAAAGGGACTTCCGAAGCATCGTGGTGTATCCACAACCACAAGAATCGAGGTGTGCTCAACAACTTATAAGAACGCCACCGTCAGTTGCTAGCTAGAGCTTACACGGAAATCAATTTCGTAAGTAGATCAGTTCGGCAAACGGTCGACGATCATTTCTCCAGACGGTCGTAATACACGACGTCAAACTCAGTCGTCTTTTTATGCAAAATAGCTTAGTGAACGCGGCTTTGGATAGGAAACAAGAGCATATCTCTTTCTGGTCCCCTAATAGAGGAGGGGATAAACAACAAGAGGGAAGGCAGGGAGGTTAACCAGGCACATGCCCGGTTTGCTACCCTACGCTGGGGGAATAGGAAGGGACATAAAGATGAGAGAGAGAGAGAGGAAAGAGAAGAATAGAAATTGTTAGAGAACTATAGGCGCACCGAAGGCCATTGTTTTGACAGTCAACGTGTTGGTTTCTTTTGCGACAATTGTCGTTTTCTATTCCGCGTCGTTATCAAAGCTGACGTGCAGATAAGCGTCCGTAATTGTGGCCAGAAAAAAGTACCGAGAGATGTCATTGTTCCATACAGCCACAACTCCTTGTTACGGCGGCACTGCCTCACGTAGTCTCACGTATAGACGTGCGACGGCACACATTCAAACTGTTGCACACAGCACCGCGAGGTCCACGGCAAAGTCTGACTTAGAAACAATCGCAGGACGCTCTTTCCTCTTCTGCAGCAGTGTCCACTTGGTCCTCCTCGGGCATGCCGTCACGGGCCACTCGTTCTAGCTATCTCGCCAGCAGCGACCACGGTAGCGGCCAGTTCGGTCGGCCGCGGCGAAGCCGAGGTGCCTATTGGTGTGCCTGTGTCACGACATGAACCATCGGACGGTGGTGTTTTTCCTGAGAGGCATGAGAATCTGCTTCAAGTCCATCACCTGCGAGAAGAAGGAAGTCAGTCGAATATCGCGATGAAGTTTTTTCTCTTGGTTTATTGCCACCGGCAACTTTGAGTTACGAAATTTTTTTGTGCAAGCATATATAGTAGATTAATGTTACGAGTTCTAGTTATAGAAAATGACGGCTTGGTATGCTCCCACCCGCACCATAGCACAATATATATATATCTATATATATTATTATATATATATATATATATATATATATATATATATATATGTGTGTGTGTGTGTGTGTGTGAACTCGCAATAATGTGACCAATAATACGGTTGGGACCCGGAAGCGGTGCAACATTACAAAACACATACTTGCGTATGCGTTAACGTTTTTGTGACTGTGTGTACATATTGTTTCACTCACAGAACTCCACTACTTTGTTAAATTGTTTATTCATGTCCGTTTGTATGTTTTTTCATGAATCCTCAATGGTTGGTTTTATTGATCCTCAACAGCATTGCGTGTGTGCGATGGTCAAGCTCTGTATTAGAGTTTCCTTTTTGCCACCTATCACTTGCCACCCTTTCACCTCGGCTGTTTTGCAGAATATTCACATCAAGAACTACACGCTGCTCAGCATTCCATATTATCTCAATAAAATGATGCACGAACGCATTTTCCACGTACATATTAAGCAGTGTTTTATACTGACATGGATGCATTCACAAAGCAGTCATAGTGAGCAGCAATATCATAATTTCAAAAAGTACACCCCAGTTGCCATTTAGTACTGACATGCTACTCAACATGCCATATGGTCACTAAGAAGACAGAGAGTGTGCGAGTGTGAGAGAGAGAGAGAGTGCGAGAGAGAATAAATCGTAGGCATGTAGGCAAGCTTCAATAGTTATTTCAATCAATCAATCAATCAACGAATCAATATAGGCAAGCTGCTCTTTCCTTCCTCCTTCACTCACTACCTTACACACACAAAACAATTTTTCACTTGTTAGCGCTGAAAGATGGAGACGGAGAAACAGAATGCACAGAACGAGCGGTGAAAGACCATTACCGAACAGCGCTTTTTCTGTGCTTTCTGTGTCCTCGTCTTGGCGTCAACGCTGCATCAAATACGTCAATATCAACTATCGCAACGTTTCATCCTATTGATGTTATCGCGCACACACGCACAAATAATGCGACAAACAACGTGCGAGTGAGTGCCAGGATGCCGCACCAACCTTGTTGCTGTGGTGCCACCGGTACTGCCTCCGCGATAGGAGGTAGTAGCCGTCTAGTTCGACCCGGGCGGGCCTCCGTCGGATGCCCAGCACTCGAACGGACATGATGGCCAACTCGTCGAACGTCGAGTTGAAGAGCTTCTTGTACTGGTAGCTGCATATCTCAAGTGTGTTCTGCGCGAAAGCAGTCGAAACCATTGTTGCGATACGATCTGTTTCAGCTTGTTTGGAACTCTTTCACAGAATGCGCTCTAAGAAGTCCAGATATTCTTGATGGTCGATGTCTTATTGTTCATATTCGCAAAATAATCAACATCAATGTTTTTTTTTTTCGAATCAGTCGGAGCAGGAAAGCATCATCTTTTTACTGCCGCTGACATTGAGATGCAAAAATATGCACTGGTCATTACCAAAAAACGCATTCGCTTCATAAGCGCATCCCCTCACTGTTCTCTCCCAATAGTTCAGTATAAAGTCCATGTCGATAACAGGGTGTGTCCCGATAAGAATGAACACGAAATTCCCGCCACCGTTCCCGATTGCGATGAAATTTACGTTAGTCACCTGTTTCATACCCAGGATAATGATTTCAAGGTTAGGTTCTTAAAAAAAGATTCTTCGCCTAAAACAATACACCAAATTTGGGCCGCAGACAGACGCATTCCACCAATTTCGCGATTTCCGAAGTTTGAAATTACCCATCTGGTCACGCAATTTATTCCCATCACAAAACGAGTGAAATGCAACCTCGTGAGTATTTTAATTTTCTTTAATGTCGAGCAACTTTTGAAACCAAAAATTACAAGCACGGTACATTGCACATACACCTACATTTCAAGAATTCGTTGCTGTATGGTTGATGCTCACCTATCTATTCTTACTAACTCAAACTGAAAGGACAAAGCAAACAACTGTCATTCATCTGAAAGGTAAAACAGTGTAATTAAACAGTGACAAATCGTTTTGACTAGAATTTACTTGTTTTATTTTTCGATGAGCAATATTTCTGCTAGCATTAGAATAAAACAGCAAGCAGGAACGGTAATATACAAATAGCACACACTAAAGCTATGCACAAACGTTTCATAACGTTAAAGCTCTGACCATGGACTCATGAACATAATTAGTAAATGTGAATATACAAACAAAATTTTACAATGCTCAACGTACAATCTTACCATGAAATTTATATGCACAGCTTACTTCACGTTCAGCTGCAGATCAATAACAAAACCTCAATCTATTTGAGTATTTATGCTCACTTGCATGAAAGCAGAAATGTCTTAACAAGGAAAGGCTCTATTATTTTTTTCGTGCAAGAAACCTTCCGGTGCTTGTGGGTCACACGGAAATGCTAAAAGGAGCACGTCCCTCTTCTCATTAATATTCGGGAATTCGCTCAAGAAAAAAATGATATGTTGAACAAGCATGTTAGAAATCGTGTTGCGTTACTGATGCATTATGCTTCAGCTATGCCATTTCTATTAAACCGTACTAGATTAATTTACATTCCAGTACGATCAAAATTGCTCAGTCAGCTAAATAAGCCATTCTCTAAAATAGCTAGCTTCTGCATATTTTGCACGAAGTGGTCACCAGTTACACAGGACAGACACACACACACACACACATATACATTCGCTCACTCAGTTCCATGAGCCTTGGAGCTGTAATGATCCGGCTAGGAAAGTTCAAGGGACAAGTATGGCATTGGAGAGGGAAAAAAATGGACCGGCTACGCACTGGTGTAATGAAGACTGAGGAAGCAGCGGAGCCGTGGTGAGTTTCCCTCTTCATTTCGACCTTCCTCACCCTGGTTTCCTTTTTTTCTTTGCTATACTACACTGTACATGGCAATGCTTGCTCTATCTCTTTTCTTCATCTCTTGTGTCTTTCTTTCTATCACATTTCTTCTCTGTTTATTGTTCTGTATCTTCATCTTTTCTCTCGTTTCCCTCTTCTCTCTTTCTCTGCAATTTCTATCTCGCCTTCTATCTTTTTCCCTACTTGTTCTCTTTCTTTCTACTGATGTTTCTCTTTTTATCTCTGTCTTTCTCTCTCTCTGTGCACTCGTTTTCCCACCTATCAGAGTTATTGCATTTCACGCCGGACAAAAGGCCGCGCGTGTTCTTAGAACGCAGCAGAACATACAGAAGAGCACGAAGGTAGTGCTGGCCGGTTAACGATTATACAGGTCCAGCCACGCAGCATAATTCCTACGAAGCCTGGACCACGAATTCAGTTTTATATTGTGGTTGATATTGCGACCTACATGGCGATTGATTATAGCAGTTCCATATCTTTTATATTGAGCAGAAGTTTACGCTTGCTCTACAGCCCTGCTCATGCTTATTTCTTGTGCTGGAATGCACTGTACACTTGAGACTTACGTTCACCGCACGGAACTTGAGGTACACGTATTCCCCCAAAAGTTGGGCATCTGAAAAGTAAAAATACAACCGCGGGTAGTTTAGTTCACTAATACCAACACGCTCGAAATCTCGATTGCCACTGCGCAGCCAATCGCTTCTTGATGACAGACAGTACGACTCACCTCTGGTCTCTCCATCATCCCAGTAAAGGTCACCAATGGCTTCGCCAGACGCATTAAGTGCTACCAAAAGTCTCATGGAATTCTTCCGGCTGCAATATATAACAAGAGACATTGAACAGTCAAAGCGAAACCCTTGGTGTGTTTTTTTTTGTGCCAGTGAATAGTGGCTCTAATGAGGTTTTCTTGTTTTAACCTCAATACTCAGTGTCGTCACTTTCACTCCTACAATGCATAGTTACGAACTTGTCACGGGCTGTCTTCTTCGCAATTTGCTCACATTACTCATCCCTGTTTCGCTATGCTGCCTTGTACTAGCGTTCTGACGAAATGAAGGCTGTAGCACGCCTATACTCTGAAATCCTTACTGTCAGCGTGTGTTGATTGTACTGATGTTCTATGAAGAGAACTTAATTTCATGCATAAGAGCCGACCTTCCTCCTTGAAGTTGTGCGCTCGTAATGAGTTGAGGTATGTAAATTTGGCATTATTCTTACTGTACCTTTGCCTTATCAAAATGGACATTTGACGGTTCTGTAGAACAAAAGACAGAAACTTCTTTAGCTTTCACGTGAAAGGCCTCAGTTTTCAGAAAGGTGGGCATCTTCTATGGTCTGTTGTGGCCCCTATCTATTCATCTTTATCATTATTATTAGCCTTACCCCCATTCATGTTCATACATACGCCTACTCCGACGTATTCCAAAGCGCTAACGTTCTTACACCATATTCATATTCATTGATCAAAGGCGCGAAACCCATGGCGGTGCCTTGACCTCTTCCCCTCAACTCTTCTAGGGGAGTTCTTGATAAATAGATCTTCTGTTGTTTTCTCTTTCAAGAAAAATGCCTTTATCAGTCTGAAACCACTCACAACTCGTGTTCGTACGTTCTATAGAAGAGCATCAATTACATGAGATATTGGCGTTAAAAAGCCCTAAAACATGGCCAAAAAAGTTGATTTTATGCTAATGGGCTCATGAGCTCACTCACTCGCACTCACTAAGACTCAAATCAAGCCGGTAGTCAGAGTTTTTTGGAGAACTTCAGTCCGAGTGACTCCGGCTGAAGAACGTTTCCACGAACGTGGGCAAGGCTGAAGAAAAATTTTGCCGAGTCTGAGTCCGAGTGCAAAATATAATTCAAGAGTGGGTCTCAGTAAGCTCTACAATTTTTGGCGACCTTTTGTGCAAGCATTCCAATCGCGTCGCAAACATTATCTACGTTCACCTCAATCAACGCTGCAACTGCACACGAAAGCTACCAAATGACTACTAATTGCACATTCTAATGTACTGCCGTTAATTATCATGCAGCAAAAGACAAAAGACAACAGCCAAGATTGCTTCCTCGGCCTTATGTGGCGTTTTTTACCTTGCCTAAATGTTAGTAATTAGTGATCCTGCCCATAAACGTGAATTTTTTAATTATACTGACTTAGAACTGTTCGGTAAATGTATTTTATTATTGACGAACTCATATAAGACTTCTACCTTTTGAAAGCACAAAAAAAACTTTATGCCTTATTTAATGGAACATTTTAATATTGTATGGCCTACTTTTGCTTTAGCTCAATCAAAACAGTTGCATAGTCATATGTTGACCTGCTTCCCTACTTCTCGCTTTTGAAGCTTTTGCCTTACTTAATCCAATAGCGAGTGTTTATGCTGAGTACGAAGGTATTGAGACGACAACGCATCTAATATCCAGCTCGAGAGCCAGCGTCTATAGTCTACAGAGGCCTGCACCATGGTTTACCAAGTACGTCAACAAATATACCTTTTGCAGACCATATGGTCTACAAAAGGAAGGTCTACGCTAAGTACACACCGGTTCGTTTCACCGTAGCTTCCGAAACTGGTAAACTAATGGAGCTTTCAGACGTGAGCGACGACTGTGTTGTTTGATCAACAGTTGAAATGCCACAGACCTCCTGAACTGGTTTAGTCAAAGAGATTTCGAAGTTCTTGACAGTTTTTATCCCGTGTCCGTAACCTGGCCCTGGGAACACTCGTTACAGTGATATTACTTTTCTTCAAGCTATGTATGTTGTATATGTTTATTGAGTATTATATTCGATATTATATTATTACCTCACAGTTGTGGTGTTGGCGTGTCCCTGCGTGGGGATCACAGTGCCGCCACGTACGTGCAAGTTACACGGTCGGTTCGGGTCGAAGAGCGGCGAGTACACGGGAAGCCACTGGCCGTTCTTGTAGCTGGAGAATTCCCGACCCTGCTCCGTATTCGCAGAAAAGAAATATGTTTGAAGCAGTATTAGTAAAACGAATTGTGAGGTGTTACTCATGAAAACTCAAGTGTTGTGTGAGAGCGTAATATAGGCTCAGCAATCATTATTTAAGTGTTTCGCTGTCAAAAACGTATTTATTATAGTGTAGGAGAACCTTTCATGTGATTGAGCACTAATGAATCTCGCATACGTTGTCTCCACCATCAGCACAAGAAGCAGCAAATGTTCGACTTGAGCCCACCGTCGGACTAAAGCCTCTCCCAGTGATATACGCTTGTCCATGTGCTATCAAATGACATATCTTCAGCCACATATTCATGGGCTCAGTTGTCTTCAGCAAACAATACACAGGTAAAAATGGCTTGTTTTCAGTCGCGCCTTTTCTCGGACGTTTTGCGCACATAAAAACGCCCTTGTCCTATCATTCCCAACTGGAAGCGCCGATTGCCTGTTGAGAATGGTAGAAATGAAGCATGCACAGTGTAAGCAACGCGTGATATTCTTCAAGCTCTGCTTATGTGCTTTCGTCGGACCAATCTGGAATACTTGCAGAAAGCTCATCAGATGAACATTTACAAAGTCTATTTCCTTTTAAGCGTTAGCTTAAGTGCAAACAGCTATTACTCGTGTTTGACTATATACTTCTGGGTCACGGCACTGTGCAGAACCAAACGTCAGTGAACAGCAAGTTTCTCTCCGATCACAAAGCATTGAACTTAGCAGCACAGGTCTATAGTTCGATGATACATCCCGGAATGGATGATAAGGCATTGCTTACCGTGTGGTAGTCATACCACTTTCCCGCCGGAAAGTAGCCCTCCACGGAGACAACCCCCTAGGAGACAAGGAAATTAAAGTTACTCTTTCGTGCATTATTTTAGGGAGACATTTGTAAGACATTTTTTTTCAAAAGCTGGGCCAGCGCAGACGTTTGGACACCTGCCAACAAAATCGCCTACTTTTAAGCAAAATAGCTCTTTCTGTCCAGTGCGTAAGAAGAATTACATTATATTATTATGGCAACATAGGCTGAACGTACAGAGTAAAGAACATTTAAAGTACTGCAAGATATTTATATTTGCGAGATTTACAGCGTTACTTAAGAGCTTCAGGTACAGCGTTACATCGTAGAGCATTACCATATTTTCCATTGAGAACAAATGAAGTTTGAAAAGACTAAATCACACTCAATTCCTGCCGCATAAAGGCAATAGGTTGCGCTATATATTTTGCTGTGTTGAAAATACCCAATTCGAGAAGAGGAATTGACTTTATTACTTCCAGTTGAGCTTATAACTCCACACATGTAGACTAGTTCTATATGCGCTCTCCTTTCGAGGCGATATTCTGTTAATAATAACTAGAGTTCCATCATTGACGAAAATGCGCGGAATTTTTTCGCCTATATATAGGTAAAAAACTAGTGTATACACTAACAAATGTTAATGTATACACTAAGAATTTCACGAGCACCTGCAACGTTTCCTGGTCCACTCTCTAGATAGTTTTTGCAATATAATCGATCCTGTCTGGAAGGCATTCTATTTATATTCGCTTCCGTATATTTACATCGCGGTGACAATGAGCCGTTGCTTTGTGCCCTTCGGAAAGTACATTTCGCCCACAGGCAAAGTACCTTTTTGTGCCGAAACATAACGACGTTTCACTCGTTCTATTCATCAGCAAAAAAAAAACAAGTTGAGTGTTTCACTTTGTGGCACGCCTTCCCCGAGCTAACTGCCTCGTTCATCACCGCAGTGGGCAGATTCCATTATTCATAACGCTTTTTTTTTCCTTTGAAGATAGGACTACCTTCATGCCATGACAGACGTTACTGTGAGATGTAACCTTTCGCACTATGCGTCCGTCAATACTTATTTGCCATGCGACCTTTTGCATGGAGTATGCGGGGCGTGCGCGCGGAAAAATGAAAGATTGAACCTCTCACCGGTTCCAGGACAGGAGTCATCAAAAGGGCCTCGCCCCACATGAACTGCTTGTCAATTGCGTACGTCTGCGTGTCGTTTGGAAACCTAGTGGACAGAAGAAGACAAGGAAAAAAAAAGCGATCTTCAACCGATTAAAAACACGTTCTCTCACTTGCAAAACGGAATGAGCCCGACATTTCTTTTTTTTCTGAAATTTATTTTCATTCAAGCACCAATACTTCATTAAACTTGCCTGCACTTTTTTTGTCTTTGTGTCTGATAACTTGGGGTGACTGAATATTTCAAATGCAAAAGAAAGAGTCTTAACTGTTTCATTCATAGTCGATCTGAATATTCGTTAGACTTTTGTGCATATCAGTTTCTCACTCTTTTCCTCTCTCTCGTACACACATGTATGTATGTATGTATGTATGTATGTAGTGTATGTATGTATGTATGTATGTATGTATGTATGTATGTATGTATGTATGTATGTATGTATGTATGTATGTATGTATGTATGTATGTATGTATGTATGTATGTATGTATGTATGTATGTATGGGTTTTCTGTGTAAAACTTCGCTGATGCTATCATGGCTAGTACGAATTACGGGGTGATACAAATTTTTCTGTGCTCCCAGCAAAGACCCCCTAACCTGCAATGTAATGGATTAACCGCTTTTTACCCCGCGACGTTTGATACGAACGTACGGTAGCAGCGCTGCACACGTGCGCATGGGAACCCAAGCACGGCCATGGCGCTGCGGCGCGCCACCAGTTGACCCTCAGTAGCTCGCCGTAACCACGGAGTTCGTGCACATGAATTTCGGAGGCCTTATTGCCAGAATCAGCGCTTAGATTGCAAATGACGTTGTCATCGCGTCTTTTCGCTCTCTCTCTTCAACAGGATAATACATTGAGTTTAAACGCACCTGCCACGACACTGCAAGCAATGCCCTCGGAATCGGACATCCTATGAACGGTAGATGAGGACCGGGAAAAGAAACGGATATAATGCCCTCGCCAGACTTAGGTCTTTGTCTCCCAACGTTAGGCACACGCACACCTTTACCAACTCTCCGACTTGCCTTCAAGACAACAAAGTTTTGAGAAAACCTCGCGATTTTCCTAGCAATTTTGCAAGCCTCCCGAAAAGCATTTCCAACACCACCTAGATAAAAAAAACATGACAGCATATTCACGGGGTGAATGGAGAGTGGGACGAAGCTGGGCCCGCGCGCCACTTCCGTGCCGCTTCGGCCTCCCGTTGTCGTACTGCAGGGTCCTCGCGGCGCGCTTCTGCCTCAGGCACACGCACGCCGAGGTCCTTTCTTCGGACGCGATCCGCCGCCGCCCTGCGCGCACGCCGCTCAGCAGCCTTATCCATCCTCCGTCGCGGAGCCTCTGTATGCGCGCGCGTGCCAGAACGGCGCTTTTATTGTACTATAGAACGCTCCCTGGCGTACGGCGCCGCCGAAGATCACGCGAGCGTAGTCGCGAGATCGTCTCTCTTTCCTTCTGTACGCGTGACGTCCACCTTTCTTTTCTACACGTAACGCCCTCTGGTGTCGTATCATTTGCATTTTCGGGGTATTTTATTTATTTTATTTATTTATTTATTTTATTTTCCTCAAGGGTCCCTAACAGAAGGGACATTACATGAGGGATGGGCGTACAAGAAATGGGGAAAGCCAAAGTTGAATGTGTAAGAAAACAAAAAAACAAATTTTAGGACATAGCTGAAGCGGCAGAAACAAACAAAACAAAAAAGAGAAGAGGTGGAGAAGAGGTGGGAAGGGGGGGGGTAACAGGTACATTTGTTTGTGGACTCTAGATAAAAACGTTTTGCAGTGACAAAAGATACCACTTATAAGGTACAAAACATTACCAAGTACACAAAATATACATACACGCTATACTAGGAAAATGACACTAGAAACCATTACACGAGAATTAGCATGGTAAGCCACCCGGAAAAATTATTACGGTTCAGTGATGATTGAAGGGAATTTTTAAAGGCTTCGGCATCCTGAATGCTAACAATAGTATCCGGTAGGCCGTTCCATTCCTTAGCTGTCCGAAGGAAGAAAGATTTGGCAAATGTGGTAGTTTTGGGACGAGGGTATTGTACTTGCATAGTGTTGCAACAACGAGCAGAGAAATAGGGGCGTTGGGTGACGTGAATGCTGGATGGGGATGCGTGATAGAATTTGTGGAATAATACGAGCCGCGCAGTTTTTTGGCGTTGACTAAGAGGAATGAATGTGGCACGTTTCTTTAAGTCTGTTACACTGGTGAACGATGAGTAATCGGAAAAGGCGAATCTGGCAGGGCGGTTTTGGGAGGCTTCTAGGTTTTGGATGAGATAATGCTGGTGTGGGTCCCAAATTGCTGTGGCATAGTCCAATTTGGGGCGTATTATTTTGGTGAAAGCTAATATTTTTAAGTGGCTGGGAGCAAACTTCAGGGTTCTTTGGATATAACCTAAAGATCGACTAGCTGTTGAAATGACGTGATTGATGTGGAGGATCCATGATAGGTCACTTGAGATATGTATTCCAAGGTATTTTCAATCTAGTCGGTTGTAGAAAACTGTTATGTAGAGCGTAGTTGTACATTAATGGATTAGTACGTCTGTGAAAAAACATTTATCTACACTTAGAAATGTTTAAACTCATCTGCCACTTGTGGCACCAATTTTGAACGGCTGCTAGGTCTACTTGTAAAGCTATTTGATCTTCATGACTAGCCATTGTTGCGCAAATAACGCAATCGTCGGCGAATAATCTTATGCTGTTAGTAATACAGTGGAATGTCGTTGATGTAAATCGGGAAAAGCAGGGGGCCAAGTACTGTTCCCCTGGAAACACGGGAGAGGACGGGAGAGATTTGAGACCTAGCTGTATTTATGACGGCGAACTGTTTTCTGTCAGTGAGAAAGTTGTTAATCCACGACAAGACGAATGGGTTGAAATTAGCAAAGAAAGTTTGGTCACAAGGCGGTTGTGAGGAACTTTATCAAGAGCCTTTTCAAAGTAGTACAAGTACCGCCCTTTATGGCCGGTTCAAAAATTAACGAGGGGCGGTTACCCACAGCGGGGACGCACGAGCCTACGCCAAGCCATAAGGAGCTTCGCCTCTAAACAATAAAGAGAGCACAAAGGTTCTATCTCGTGCAAAGTGCTTCTAAAGTCTTTTTCGTCGCAATGTTTTGCTGTTATGAGAAAAGGTGTACAAAAGTTTAGAAAGGGCCATTAGCTGCCACGGGTCCCAACACAAGTTCACAGGTTCATTAATTACACACGAGCGCACGTGCCTATATTTACGACTGCAGGTATCATCGTTCGTGTCTAAGAATTTTACTGTCAATCATTCAAAGCTGTTGATGACGTTGCTGTGGTCAGTTATGAAATTGTACGCCAGGTTCCTTTGGCTGCGTACCAATTTGAGCGTGTGTGTGTGTGTGTGTTTGTGTGTGCGTGTGCGTGTGCGTGTGCGTGTGTGTGTGTGTGTGTGTGTGTTTGTTTGTGTGTGTGTCGCATCGTGACATTTATGTCATCGCATGTGTGTTGCACTGCAATGTTACACAGAGCGCATTTCTTCTTACCGTTCTTCTATTTTGATGTCTACAACTAAATAAATTTGTTGTCACGTTGGTCGCCTGGCCCATTTGTGTGCTTACAAGCTACTGCTGGCTGCTCATACGTCAAGAAATAGCGCTTGTGTAATATATATACAGGCCCGAGTATTGTTGTCTGCCTTTTTCTGTTCTGTACTGAGGCGACCAGTGAGCGCCTCAAAAATCAAGGCCTTCTGCCATGTGTGCAGTGTCATGCTACAACACAATATTAAAGGGGTATTGCAACACTTTTTGAGCATGGTCAGAAAATGCTGCCTATCTCTAGTAAAGGCTTTCGACAACACGCGAGTCAAATATTATAGCGCAGCACGGGGCCTGTTTTCACAATAAATTTTCAAAGTCTGATAAATATTGCTTTCTCTTCTCTCGACAAATCACAAAAGACGCTCAAAAGTCACTCGTAAAAAGCCCATCTATTAGCTGATATGAACCAGCATTGGCTGATATGAACCAGCATTGGCTGATATGAGCATGGCGCACACGATCGTTACAGAGATCGCCGCGGGAGGCCGCGACTTGACCACGCGTGCACACGCGATCACACTGAGAAAGCCGCGCATTTGAAGAAAAAAAAAAAACAAGTGCCCAATGTCGCGAGGCACACGTGACGTTTTCCTTTGCCCCTGCCATCCCTCCTTGCTTAGCTTTCAGTGCTTTTGTCGGGACGAGAAAAGAGAATGCAATCACAGCATGCAACAATTCTTTGTAAATCCACTCGCACGGGACATATTTCTAAAATTTTTGCGGTGTTGAATCGGTGAAGCAATACGAGCTTCCAGTGAATTCATTCTATGGTTACTTGAAAAAGTGTCTCAGGGCACCTTGAAGATCCTAAGCTGGTGTTGATACTGATGGTGGTATATTATGGAAGACAATGCGAAATCTTTCGGTACACAAGAGACAACTGCTTTCCATACAAGATGGACAAGTTATGAGTACATTCTTATTTTTAAAATTTACGAATACCTCACAGGCCTACCAATGAGCATGGGGTAGGGGTGGCATTTGGTGACATTCAGCACAATATATTGGATGTATACAACTATTGAATAATTCTCACTGAGCGAAGAAACTTGCATGCTACTTAAATATACAGACGTCGGAAAAAAAGAAAATAACAGGGAAATAAAATTAACAGACAAGCAAAACAATAGAAGCATGCAGATGTTTTACAATGGGACCGGAATGAGAACAGAGTTTGGACTCACACGTGAAAGAGCGGCCTCGCTACGGTGGTGCCCTTGGTGTGAGCGTGGTGAAACAGGGTGTACAGGAAAGGGAGCAGCTCGTATCGAAGCTTGAGGGCACTGCGCGCCACCGCTTGGTAATCTTCGCTGAACGCCGACGGGTCTTGAGCCTGAAGGTATGGTGACGACGAAGCAAATAAGCGGTAAAACAAGTCCTCCCTCAAATCGTACAGCCCCTTCACTGTAAAGTTTTTTCACCGTGTGTACGTGCCAAAAGAAAGTGTATACGCACACTACTTTCAATGGCATTGTTGTTTCGGACTAGAGGATAGAAGATACCCAGCTGCATCCAGCGCAAACAGAGTTCTTCATTGGCATCGTCGTAAAACCCGCACACGTCGGCGCCTACCTGAAAAAAAGCGAGAGCTCTGCTTGTTGTCTGCATGTTGCTCGCTCATAATGAAATGCACGTGTTAGCTTTGGCGGAGAGGACAACAAACTCGTGGACAATCTTCATCTCGCAGCCATCTTGCTGATCACGATATTGCGCATAAAAGTATACTCCTTAGCTGTTACACCCACCAGATGGCTGTTTATGTGTGTTGCAGCACTGTCCCTGAAGGTATATACAAAATTATCGTTTTTAACAGTGAAATAAAGCCACACCTCAAATGAGCTCAACCTTAGTTGAAAGCTATGATATAATTAGCTCAACTAGAGGGCATGTTAGCATTTCACAATAATTCGACAGCGACTGCTATAGCTTTAATGAAGTAGACTTCAGGCGGGTTTCGTGCCATTTGAAGCAGCTGTCGTCACATGTAAGGACCACAAAACGTTCTGGTAAATAGTCTTCACTTGTCACCATTAGCAATTCGATACTGCCCATGCAGCTGAGGATGTCCGCCACGTATGTCAAATGACGCCTTAAGAAAGAAAACACTCTTTATGCAACAGTAAAATTGGAGTTCCATCTCTTGGTTTAGACGGCCACGGCTGAAGAAATGTCACGCTGCAACAGTCGCACTCAGTTTCACAAACGAGATCTATGTCACCACGAAAAAGATGTCTACGGCCAGCTGCATATACCTGTACATAACTCGCGCGCTTCCACAGAGCCAGATGCTGCTTCGGTGCTCGGTTATATCGGTATAAAGGACGTATTACCCATCAGGGGTGCGTGCTGCTGCTTTTCGGGTGAAAGAGTATAGATAAGGAATGAACAGCACACACATCTACCACTCTAAATGTGTTTTCAACAGACTAGTGTTATGTAATTAGGCGAGTAATTAAACTGACGACGCCTGATGTAGCCGTAGCCAATGAATAAGTATTGAGGATTTAACGTCACTAGTCTGCCTCCTTTTTCCTCACACCCTCCCACGGACCAATCGTTCAGGTCATTAAATGTCTTTCAGTGGGCTGAAAAGGAATGCGAGTCAATCACCAGTGGTATGCCGAACAGGCCAAACTCGAGCATAGCGATGATAGAGTGGCCCAGATCCGGCCAGCGGCTTGCGTTGTCACCCAACCAGTGGCCCACGTATCGACCACTGCCCAGGAACGTCGAGCGAGACATGACTAGGCTGCGCCGGCCTACGGACAGCGCGTTCAGGGCACTGCGTAACCACAGAAGGCACGATGCAAAGATCAGAGTGCGATGACTGAATAGCACAGCAGTGCACCTGGTTGTTTACTACGCAGTTTTACTATTGCGTTTCACGATAAAAGGTAATATGCACCTGAAAGTAGCACGTAATACCTCGAAATTCCCTATCTGCAGGTTTTTTTCACAAACTGAAAAAGCGGTAGAGGTTTTTAAAAAATACAAAGGAAAGATGCAGAGGCTAATTACAGTGTTCTACTTCGCTATCTACAGGAGAAGATTGAAATGAACGTGAAAGGTGAGAGCAATGAAGGCAAAGGTAAGAATGCACCACACAAGACCTCGGAGCCTCTCACACAGCCTCTCAATGCGCTAATAATAATTGTTAGGGTTTAACTTTCGAAAATCACTGTATGATTGTGAAGGACGCCGTAGTGGAGAACTCCGGAAATTTCAATCTTTTGGGAATTCTTTGACGTGCACGTAAATCTTAAGTACACGGTCTCTCTGTGTGTTACAACACCGCAGACAGCGTCAGCGTAAGACTGTAAGATCAAAAGGCTGTCGGCGCCATGCAGTCTAGCAGTCATGAATTGTTCCACAAGTAACGTGACAGTGCAACGTGGTAGTGGCAGCTGACCATGCCAATGTCTGCAGTGCAGACAACTCTTAATATTCCACGCAACACTCATTGCCACAGATAGATTAGGATATCTGGCAGGTGCGAGACTCGCAGTATATGAAAATCGTAATTGCCTGTCTGTTAACGAACACTAAGCACTTCTTGGAGCTCTATTAAAGTAACTTTGTTATAGCATATGCAATGTTGTTGCTCTCTGTCAGCCACCAGCAAGTCGCTTTTGTCCACAAGGTACTCCAATTTTTTTTCACCCTCTCTGTTACCTTTACTAAAATTACGATACTATAAAGGTATTTCTAACTCTTTTTGCAGCTTACTTGACTGTTGCTTGGCTCATGGCCTTGCCGTAGAGGTTGTGCAAATTGTAGTGGCAGTGCTTGGTACCTTTGAACCAGTGTACAGAGTCCATGCAGAGAGTTCTCTCGAACAGGCGATGTCCTTTTGTCTCTGCGCAGGTACACATGGCAGAGTTACGACCAAAGTTGAAAACGAGGACACTAAATGAGCTGTGAACGAGCGAATCAAGTCACAGTAAACAGGATCAATCCAGAAACCTTACAAAATGTGAATCGCGGAGTGAAGCACGCGTCTATTTAAGAAAAAATGGCTGATGTAACTGTATTTTGCATTTACGCAATTCGAAGCATTGCGAAGACTTCTGCACCCAGGGTTGCCCTTTCGCAGTGTTGTGACTTTTTCCCCTGAAGACGAAGCTCTATGGACTTCGCTGAGCGTGCCTGGTGTATGCGACAAATTCATCAGTCACTTTCTTGGTTAGTTCACGGTAGAACAGACGTGCCCTGTTAGATTACCGCGTTTCTCCTCTTAGCACTTCCCCTGATAACCGTTGCCGTGGGACAGAGATAATGCATGAAGTCTCGTTTAAAGCCCGATATGTGACGCATTTCATGATATTTTCAGGTGACCAGGCAGCCGCTTCCACCGCGCGAGGGTATAGTGTGAGCGCTAAGGTGAATTAGTCTTCATACTCTTTACATGTCCTCATCACATGTACATCTTCTTCATCTGTACATACCATCATCAACGCGATTTAGCCCGAGCCAAACATTGTTCACAAAACAACATCTAGTTACCATTGTTTCGACCGGCCTTTGGGGCACCGGTGATCCGGGTTGAAGATGTCGAGGCAGGAGGATGTTGAACTTAGTGGAGGGTTTATTTACATTATGTACATGGTGAGCTTTCTGGCCGAAAGCTCTAGATTGAAAAGCTCCACATCGAAAAAACATGATTTGAGCGTCAGCGCTCCTTCAGTCAGAGACGCACAGCATGGAGGTCTGACGTCCGTCTTCGGCGGAAACTCGGCATTGTGGCTTTTTCTGGGCCACAAAGACGTTACGTGTCGCATCTCCGCGCTGACCGCAGGGACAGCAGTGCTCCGTCGAGTAATTGCAACCACGCACATCCCAGTACTACTCATGAAAACAGCAGGGCGTCTTCGCGCTACTCCTTATTTCCACTATGGTGAGGTGGCCGCCTTTCTTCCGTCCCGGCTGTCGCGGCAAAAGGGTGGCTCGCCGAACGCAGCACCATCCGCAGACTGACGGATTCATAGAACGCTTTTATCGGACCCTTTCGAACACGATCTCACTGTAAGTTCACCCCGACCACTAACAGTTTTGCTTTCCGAATCAGAATGACAGACAATGCTGCGATTGACCCCTATGGTAGTGAGGAAACCATTGCCCACGTCCTTCGCGACTGCCCTCATTATAGCTCTCAAGACAGCAGCTTCCAAAGAACAACAACCCAAAGGCAACACTAGCACAGCTTGAGGAACAACCGCTTTCGGAGCAGTCAATGTCGCAGTATCGGAACGTTCGAGCTTCCAGCCAGAAAGCGACGAAGGCACTGATAAGGTTTCTGCGGTCAACTGGGCTCGCAAAACGACTAAGACACTCCCGTGCTTGAGTGTGCGCGCGTTTTCCTCCTTTTTTTTTGTTCCTCTTTTATTTTTGCCTCCTAACCTTTCTATCCCATTTCCCCTTCCCCAGCGCAGTGTAGAAAACTAAAAAAATTTCTTCTGGTTAACCTCCCTGCCTTTTACTTAAGCTTTCTCTTTATCTTTCTTTCTCCCTCTCTCTTACACTACCACGAGTACAAGATTAGCTATAGTATCCTTGCTGGCAGGCTTGCATGATTCGCTGTGAAAAAGAAGTTCACAACGACCCCCCTCTCGACAAAGACAACGGGGTCGTACTGCGAGTAGACAAACCTAGGAAATCCAGTGCCGATAATGTATACGTCTCCAGCCTGGCGTTCTGCTACACCGCTTGTTACAGGTTCCCACTGCAATGTAACGTGGCATAGCTGATGTAAGCGCGGGCTGGCGTTCTATGCTGGTGTATGCGTGGGCTGACGTTCTGGGTCGCCAACGAATGGGGCGGCAGTCGGAAGTTCCAGTATTTCTACTTCTATGTCGAGGGTTCAGCGCGTGTTTAGTTTGAGAACCATGACGCTGCATTGGCAACCTGGCCCAAGTTTTGTACCCAGCTGCAGAACACGCATACCAGTTCCGACCGGAACTAGCAGAACTTCTCCTGCATTTCAGGAGTCAAAAACCAAACGAAAGTGTTGCCATGTTCGTTGAGATGTTTCGGCTGTTCCTGGGAGCTCATATCATAATGGTGGGAGACAAGAACGTATGCTTCTTGATGCGGAGCGTCAAAGAGCACCTGTTTGCCGGATTGTACGTAACCCTCCAGGTACAGTGGCGGAATTCCTTCATGAAGCCACAACAATAGAACGAATGCTAAGTCAGAGTTCTTCGCAGTATTGGCGGCCCATACAAGCCTGCGAGCAATGATACTAGCTAATCAATTCGTGGCAAGATTTATTGCTCCACATTAAAAAAACTATTCATAATATTGAATTTGCTCTTTCCAAGTCAAACTTGCCTTGACTTAGCTGCACAGCTTGTAGTGTTTCCAAAAGCGGAAAGTAGTAGTAGTAGTAAACAACTTTATTAAGGCAGCTGACGGTTTTCTAAGTGGCTAGGGCTGTCAGGCTACGTCTGGTCGCCACCTCGTCAGCGCGTTTGATGGCCAGGAGCTGGGTGTCCAGACTTGTAGTCGTGAGGATTCTCTCCCAGGCCTCACTTGAAGGTGACTGTCCTAGGAGGTTTGGTGGGTAATGGTCCTTGCTGAGTTCGTTTGAAGCCGCCGCCAAGTGATTTATTGAGCTTTGTTTATTTGCGGGTGCGGGAGTGGTCTGGTTTGCCTTGATAGCTTGTAGTACTGCGTGATGTCGTGAAAGTGATGAATGAGTGGTTCGGTTGCTTCGGTATCGTGGTCCGTAGTCTGGCCCACCGCCTAGTGTACGAGTCCTCGCGATGGTCTGTGGGCGGCTTCCTTACGCGGGTTTCCTGCGTGCGCTGGGACCCAGATGAGTTGGATTAAAGGAGGATCGTCATCGTTGGTGCTGCTAGCAGCAGTGTCATCTGAGGCGTTGCGTGCCGCTTGGGGCAGAGGACCGAGGATTCCTGCCGTGGTTGGGAAAACAGTGCCACGGGCAAATCGGGTGATGGCACATTTGGAGTCACTAATGATTGTTTCAAATCCGGCTATTGTGGCGATTGCTATGGCAGCTTCTTCGGCCTTGGTTAGGTCCTGTGTGCGTATGGAGTCGGCACACATCGTGGTAGGCTCTTTATCGACGGGGGTACATTTCGACAAGACATTGATTGCATATGCCTGTTTGGGGGCTGGGTATCTTGCCGCGTCGACGTGCGCCGCCTTTGTGTTCGTGCCGTAGGTACTGTGAAGGTTTCTGGCGCGGGCCGATAATCTACACTCTAAGGCAAAATTACCCGAAAAAGGAGTAACGGAGCCCAATAGGCGCGCGCGATGAACGGATAGACCGTTGAGGAGCAACCACAAAGGGAAGCGTGCCGCACGAGACCACTTAGTCTCAAAACACGCTCCAAAGGGATGAACCGCCCGGATATTGCCGGCAGCGTGAAAAGCGTTGCCAAGGTGACCACCCTCCTTCTCCTCTGTTGGCTCAGTCTTTCCCGTATTTTGCCGGCGACGGTTCGCGTTGCGTCGCGCTCGGAGTGCTCGAGCACGGCTGCCTGGATTCGACGATCTAAGAATTACGACGTGCTGCTTGTGTGTACGCTTGAATGAGCGTGCGCTGCTGCTTTAGCGTTTCGCTGCACCCATGAAGTCTGAAGCAAGTCTCGACACGTCACCGCGCCGCGCTGTATACATCTGACTTCAAGATAGTCACGACCAACACACGACAGCAACAGTTGGGAAGGCAAGCATGGCGGCCGAGAAGACAACATGCCTATCGGATATATACTTCAGTCCGACTTAGGGCAGAAAACAGCGCTGGATTCTGAGGCAACTAGGTTATCATTCTTTACTCTACTATACTTGTCGCATGTGCGATACGGATCGCGCTTGCCGGCAACGGGCTCGGTCGTGTCGTATACTGCACGAACGAAATGCACCGCGAAGGTCAGCTTCGGTGTCTCCAGTTCGCCTGTGCTTTGCGACCGCCTGGAAATTGGCCGCCATTGCCGTCGGCCTTCCGTACGCTCACTCATCGAGTGCTCGCCTATCTTCGCCGCCGCGATGAGCTCCGGGATGACGATATTGGGCTGAGACCTCGTCGCTATGTTGGGAGTCGTCTAAAACAGCGTAGCGGGTTCTCGTAAAGAGTTTGGTTGTAGTATGTCGCGCACTGTAAGTGCACCATCACGGGCTGACGGGGCTTTCACTAGCGTCGAAACTCACTGAAAATTGGTCGCCATTACAGTTGGCTTTCCCGTCAGTCGGTCGCCAGCAGCTCGGCGGCGGACTCGCGTTTGCGCGCTGCACTCGCCCGAGTTTGTGGGAAAGGGCCACATTACCGTCGATTTCTTCGGCGCCAGCTCCAAACCAGCTCGGCACTGTTCGTGGCGGTGGCCCAGCGAACGCTCGCTCTTCTGTTCGAAGTTCGATGGCGGCAGACACTCCGCGTGCAGCGCTGTGTTTGGTCTCGCGTTCGCTTGCTCGACCTGAACGACGTGGCTCGCTTAGGGCTCGCCGACTTGTTAGCGGCACGGTGGTTCGCGGAGTTGTGGCTCTGGCCGCCGCTTCTAAGCTGTTGTGCTACGGGGATCGAAATTAGTCTTTGACGATGCGTGACATCACGGTGAAATTATTGGCATGTCATATCTCACGTATGTTTGCATTTCACCTTGCATGTATTTCTCACATGCATTTGTATTCATCCTCTGTCAGGTGTGACTCACTATTTACATACTTATTGTGCAGCCGTGGGCACACACCGTGCTGAAGACTGTATGCGCTGGCGTCTGCGATGCCTGTCATCCATCTCTTTCGTCAGAGCAGCGTCAGAAGGACTGTGCGAGATGTGAAGGTAAAGTTATTTGTGTGACATATTTTACACACATGTTTTTATATTAACGTATATAT